CCCTTGCAGTTCATTTCATTCGACCATATCACGCGTACAGCCTGAACGGCAAATCCCCCAACCGCCTGAGGTTCCCGCTTCTCTAGCCCCGACTGCAAAGCGACCATCACATCCTCAACGTGGCGACACCCTTCCATCCAGATGCTGCACACGTCTGAGCAAACTCCAATGCCTGTTGAACAGTGCAGCAGCCTTCCAGCTGCCGTGCAAACCTTCCGAATAGAGGACAACCAGCATCAGCGGCATTTCCTCGTGCACCAAGCTGGCCCATCTCCCAGGCTTTGCTCGGCTCAACGTCACCCAGCCAGGTTTGCGACGTACGCACTTGCCGAACGGCCGGAATGCGCGGCAAAATTCAAATTGGGATATCTCACCTTCGCAACTCGCCGCATGACCAACTAGCTTCCAGACTCTAGTCGCACGCCAAAGTGTCAATGCCCAGCCCTCTCGACCGGCCTTGCAGTTCATTTCATTCGAGTATATCACACATAAAGCCACACCAGCAACTCTCCCAACCGCCCGAAGGTCCCGCTTCTCTAGCCCCGACTGCAAAACGGGCTTCAGCTCTTCAACGAAGCAAAACATCTCCCTCTCCATGCTCCGCACCACTACGCATATTCGATTGCGTGTTGAGGGGTGCAGCAGCTCTCCAGTTGCCGTGCAAACCTGCCGTATTGAGACCACCCAACATCAGCCGCGCCTCTCAATGCATGAAACTGCCCCACATCCCACGACTCGATCCAATGTCACCCAAACAAGCTTCCCAACTACACACTTCATGAGCCGCCAGCAAGCGCAGCCGAATTCGAACCGGACAATCCCACTTCCCCCACTGGCCGCATGACCAACGCACTTAAAACTCTACTCGCACGCCAAGGAGTCAATGTTCAGCCTTCTTAACCGGCCTTGCAACTCATTCCATTCGAGTCGTTCACGCGTACAGCCTGAACAGCAACTCTCCCCACCGCCTGAGGTTCCCGGTTCTCTAGCCCCGACTGCAAAGCGACCATCACATCCTCAACGCGGCGACACCCTTCCATCCACATGCTGCACACGTATGAGCATATTTCAATGCCTGTTGAACAGTGCAGCAGCTTTCCAGTTGCCGTGCAAACCTTCCACATGGAGGACACCCAGCATCAGCCGCATTTCCCCATGCATCAAGCTCGCCCATCTCCCAGGCTTTGCTCGGTTCAACGTCACCCAGCAAAGCTTGCGAAGTACGCACTTGCCGAACGGGCGGAATGCGCGGCAAACTTCAAATCGGGATATCTCACCTTCGCAGCTCGCCGCATGACCAACTAAGTTCCAGACTCTACTCGCACGCCAAAGTGTCAATGCTTAGCCTTCTCAACCGGCCTTGCAACTCATTCCACTCCAGTCTATCAAGCGTACAGCCTGAGCAGCAACTCTCCCAACCGCCTGAGGTTCCCGGTTCTCTAGCCCCGACTGCAAAGCGACCATCACATCCTCAACTTGGCGACACCCTTCCATCCACATGCTGCACACGTCTGAGCATATTCCAATGCCTGTTGAAGAGTGCTGCA